TTTTTTTTTTTTTTTTTTTTATACGACCAACTCGCATTTCGACGTAATTTTCTGAATATTTTTTCCCTTTTTTTTTTGAGATTTTTCGCGAAATTCGTAAAAATAGTCGAGAAATGTGTCGATATTTAATGAAAACGATCGAAATGTATCTGCAATGTACAAATAAGATATCGATTAGAAAAAAATCCCTTATAGATATCATCCACAAATTATATGTATAAAATTCAATTTCAAACTCTCATAACCGTGTTTAATTTAAAAAAAAAGAGACTTCCACACTTCTCACATTTCCTCTATTTCAATCCCTTTTACCAAAGACTTCTTCTCTCTCCGCGACACTCTCTCCAAACAAGCGAGAAAAGAACGAATTCTCCGTTACAAAGGGGGGGGGGGATAAATTGGGAAATGGAAAGTCGCATGGTTAATTAATGGAAAAGCCTGGATGTATTTATGGAGGACAGGGTGGTTCGACAGGGTGGAAAATCGCACGAGGGCGACGCGAGCGTGAAATTTGGACGAGTGGCGACGTAGGCGTGGAACGATCGGAAGCGATTCGAATGCGATTTGAATTTTGAGTACACTCGCAGAATCTGCATATGTAAACACCGCTGCATACCTCGGCAGCGATACGATCTGCGCGTACGTGCAATCATCCCGCCTATACAACCTGTGTCTCGTTTATTCGACGAGACGATTCCACCGGAATCTTCATTATTAAACGAGAAAAAAAAAAAAAAAAAGAAAAAAAAGAATCGATTTCCCCCGCGTTGTCACGCGCCTCTCTCTCACAACCCCCGTGTAACGGTCGATTTCTGGTTTGGCGCTCAACCAGCCTTTTCAACCCCCCCTCCCTCCTCCTCTTTTTGTTGCCACCACGAATTTTCGAAGGGTTTTATTATTGCGCGAACCAGTCTCATTGTGCGCTCTCCGATTCCGATAGATATTGAAATTAGGAGTGAAACAAGCTTTCGTAATTATTATTTGTTATCGGTTAATGACGGATGAAATGGTTTGGGCTGCGTTGGGAACTGCGTTTTGTTTGCCTTTGGAATAATAAAGAATGGCCGATAATGAGGTTGCGGGATAGATGGGGCGAGATCGAAAACACGGTGCGTATTCGGGTTGTGGAGCAACCGTTGGTACAAGTTCCGTGGACAATTCGTTCGATATGGTGTAATTGCGACTCGTATTGCGGAGGCATCGATCGATGGAAGGAGGCTACGCTCGAGGGAGAGGGTTTAGAGCCTCTGTGAGATTTAGCGTTATTCATTCGAACTTTAGCGCGATGTATTATGCATTTTATTTCATTGCACGTAATTTCGCGCTCCTTGCTTCGCAGTACAATAACGACGTAATAATAGAAATTACACCTTTAATTATTAACGATAATAGAAATATTTTCCTATTATCCTGTGCAACTATCGATCATTCAAAATTTACTTAGAAAAATTAGATTATTATTATCTTCGCGATCGTCGAAAATTTCTCCTTATTTCTCCTTATTTTGTTTCTGAAAGAATTCACTCGTTCCACGTTTTTTGGAATATCACATTTTCCCCGTTTCAACACAATCGTGAATGATTTTTCAGATGCTTCACGGGACGTGGTTGCAGTGGTCGACGCTGCTGTTGTTGTTGCTGGGTACGCGGCTACTCTTGGTGGTCGCTCAATGTGGATCGTTCACTCAGGATAGACAGGAGAAAGAGGACAAACAGGATAAGCTGGCGCTATACAAAGTCACTTTAAGGACTTACTGGTCGAGGGCGCGATTTCCACGACATTATCCGGAATGGAAGCCACCGGCCCAGTTCGGCAAGCTTATCGGTGAGTCTTTAAACGATATATCCCACGTATCCGCGTTTTCAACAATTGGCGGTTTATTAGCTTCAGAATATTCGACACTGGATATATTTTATTTCGTAAACTTTCTCTTCGAAAGTTTCGTACGTAAGGACGATGAAATGAGATAAACGAAAGAGAGAATATAATCGATGAAATCGTAATCGAAAAGGGATGTAGAGTAGGGATATAGAGGAAGGGTGCAATTGAAGAGAGATGGAATTGATGTAATGGAAGGATAAAAAGAAAGAATCAAAAGGAGTAGAATTGAAAGGAGATTAGAAAAGGGATGTATAGTGTAGGAAGGGTGTAATTGAAGAGAGATGGAATTGATAGTGCAGTAAGATCGAAATAATGAGTGAGAAAGGGGGAGAATCGAGAGGATTTGAAGGGGATTGGAATCGAGATGAGTAGAATTGGGGGGTGTAATTGAAAAGGGACCTAAAAAAAGGAATATAAATCTCTATCTTAACGAATATTATTCTTAAACTTTAATTGATTTAACGAACAAAGATACAAGGAAAGTTTCTCGTATTATTCGAGGGAGAAAATTTCGAATCGTTTCGTCAGTTTGGATCTCGAAAATGCGGAAATTCGCCCGATTTCGATGATCGGCCAGCACTTATTTCCGAGGCTCGGCGCATTTCGAGCAACGTCAGCCAACGGAACACGCCATTTCCTAGGTTTATTCTCTTCGACCTCCTTTCCCCAGCCGGCGTGAGAAACGATAATTGGAGAAGTTGGAAATTATCGGACGTCGACGCGTACGTCGTCGTTTCCGGTCTCCGCCGTTTCAAACGGAGTTTTCCTTCCCTCGAAATGATATACCGAATCTCCCGATACCACGCGATGTACGACATTTATTTTATTATCTTCTTCAGAATTTTATACATTATTATTATTTTCTTTGTTTAAATTATATCTCCATACTCGCTCATATTATTATCGTGTTCGTTCCTTTCGACTCGATAAATCTTTCCGGTTGCACGGAATAACTTTTAACAAATTTTACTTTTTTATATTTAAACAAAGGTATTAGCTACCTATGTTACAAAATTCAACGAGATTGTTTCAATCGCGACGCATATCCGCCCGTCGAAAAAAATAAATTTCGCGAGTCTCCATAAACAAGAGAAATATTTCAGATGTTAATGCGAGGCTGGGAACAGGTGTCGCGGATCCCCGACGGTCCATAAATTCTCCCCCTTCCTCTCTCTCTCGTAACTCCACGCTATTTTGCACTTTCGATTCGTGACCGTGGCCAACCATCGCGATCGAAACTGTGGATCGAGAGAGAGAGAGAGATAGACAGGGTTGTAATCGGAGGGAGTGTAATCGAGGAGGGTTGTAATCAAAGGGGGAGGAAATAGAGGTAATCGCAGGGGGTGTAATCGAAGAGAGATTGGAAGTGTAATCGAAGGGGAGGGAAATGGAATTGAAAGGGGTGTGCGATCGAGGAATTGGAATTGAGAAGAGTAGAATTGAAGGGTGTAATCGGGGAGGTGCGATTGGAATGATGGAATTGAAAGGGGAGCGAATAATCTGGAAGGGGGCGAAATCGAAGAATCGAAAACTAAAGGAAACGTACTCGACTCGGGGGGGATAAATCCGCGAATCCTCACCCCGAAGGAAAAATTCGAATTAGAAAGCGTATACGAAATTGAATTTCGCTTTAAAGACCGGTGTACTCCTCGCATTCTCGAGTCGAGTGAACATCTACTCCGGGGGGCGGAACAGGGAGGTTAGGGGGAAGAGTTAGGGGAGGAAGGGAGGGAGGAGGGGCGAAGAAAAGAGAAAAGAGAGGAAAAGGTGGATATGCGGGGAATGCGAATGCGCGGCATTTCCGCCCGGTTGACGGCCGTTTTGTTTTACGCTCCACGAAAGAATTCGTGAAATCGTTAGAGCGACTCGACTCTGTGCCCGACACTCGACTCGCTCGGTCTCGCGCTACGCCTCGTCGAAAAGCTGCCGTGTCATCCGTCGAATTTTCCAAACCCGTGTTCGTTAAGCCGGCTCTCCCCTTCATTTTTCCACCCCGA